ACGACAAATGACATCCTCGTAGAGGGCTTGCGTAACGTTACAGGCGGTGGCACTTCGGAGTGGTCGGAACTCAACCCACCTAGTAAAACGGTCCTGGAATACAATTAAAAATCGGTTGCCCTTACTCGACCTCGGTAACGGTCCAATTAAGTAGGTGCTGAAGGTTTCCCAGGGTTGTGGGATTACGGACGGTTGCATTTTCCCTGGTATCTGTTGCTGCGATGTCTTATAGCGCTGGCATTGAAGACAACTTCTCACATAACTAGTGACTTCCCGGAACATGCCAGGCCAATAATATCGCAGGAAAATTCTGGCAATAGTCTTGGCAATTCCCATGTGTCCGGCGGTTGGAACATCATGGTTTTCCTTCATGACATTCGGTCTCATTGGCTTCGGTACACACAGCTTCCGCGGGTCGCTGAGCTCGGGTTCGGTCAGATCTCTAGAATCCCAAATGTGTCGGTATAGCGGTCATTACGAATACAGTAATCCGGGAATGCTTCGGGACTCTTTTCTACTTCTTCCTTTTTCTGCCGGTACCAAGAACACTCTGGTGCCCCCTCTAGAGCACATAGCCCGGCGGCATTCTCAGTGGAAGAATCGGGTAGGAGTTGACGAGATAATGCATCAGCAACACGGTTTAAAGCTCCTCGGCGGTACTGGATGTCGAAGTCATATTGTTGTAAAAATATGCTCCATCTTGCTAGACGTCCAGTCGTATTTTTAACGGAGTGAAGCCAACGGAGTGACTGGTGGTCGGTAATAACGGTAAAACGGTATCCTTCCAGATATGGCCTCATTTTCTCAATTCCCCACACGATGGCTAGACACTCCTTCTCGGTGGTGGAATAATTTTTCTCGGCAGATTTGAGGGTGCGGCTAGCATATGGCCACGACATGTTCAGTTCCCTCAACATTTTGGGTAGGGGCCACCCCTAAGCCAATATCGGAAGCAACGGTCTGTAAAATAAACGGTTTTTCAAAATGAGGGCGAGTCAAAATCGGGGCTTCGGTAGGACATTTCTTTAAAGCTGTGAAAGCTTTTTCCTGTTCGGCAGTCCATTTCCAACGGTAATTTTTCTTGAGTAGTCTTGTTAACGGGGTGCAACTACTTCTGAAAATGACGGTACAAATCTACGGTACCAGGAGGCTGTACCTAGAAAGCGTAGGACATCTCGGACATTCTTCGGGGTTGGAAATTTGTTGCAGGGAGAGTTCTCCCACAGGAGCATACGGGGTTGTCGGCGGTGACCTATGGACTTTTTTATCATTTAAGTAAATGGTGTTACTTAATAAATCCATCCTAAAATTATTTCGGCTCAATATGTCCATCCCAATTATCATATCGGATGTTAAATCGGGTAGGTGGTGTATTAATTGGGAAAACTTGGTTCCATTTATTAAAAATTCCAGGTGATATCCACCACGAATGGTTACTCTTTGATCATTGGCCAAAACGGTAGTAGGTGTTACTATCTCTTGGAACGGTATGCCTAGTTATGTGCAATAGTCGGCTATCTTATTACTTACATAAGATATTAAAGCTCCGGTATCTACAAGTGCGGAAAAATATCTATAATTTATTTTCACTTGTATGTGTGGGTGGTTATCGGCTCCGGTGATGGCTGCATTATGGGATTTTGAAGGCTGGTTACATCTGCAGTCGCGGGACATCACACCATTTCGTCCACATCTGGAACAAAACAATTTTGGCGGAGCTCGGCATTCGAATCGGTTGTGGCCAGGTTGACCACATCTCCAGCAAATGGCCGCCGCCGGTTCCTAGTGCCAGGCGACGGCAACGGTATCGGTTGTCTAGGTCGAGTCTCGCGTGATTGTGAGGGTTATTCACCAGGTCTCTCGGGGATAGATTCTGGCCTGGACTTATGTTCTTCAGCCGGTCTGGGTCTGCATGGCGGTCATGGGTTGACTGGCTCTCGGTTTCTTGGAGGCGGCAACTCTTTTCGGTCTGTATTTTAACCGGGTGATGAATTGCGGTACTTGAGCTCTTTATTTAGAGTTCTCAAATTCATCAATGCGGACTACCAAGTCGCTTGGATTCGCGACAAATTTCAGGCCTTTGAACAATTAAAGAAATTATCTCAATTAAATTTAGACGGACAATAATGGTTTTGAATTATTTAATCAAAAGCAAATGATTGCTTTTAATTTTATTTCCACAGAAGTAAACACCGGTCCCTAAACAGTATTTAAACAAAAGAAAATAACAGCCCTAAACGGTATGTAAATAAAAGCAAATAACGGTATCTATACAGTATTTAAAGGAAAATAACGGTCCCTGCTCGGGCGCCAAATTTTTGTGACGTAACTTTTTTGTTCGGTTTGTCTCGGGCGCCAGTTTCCTTATCTTTTACGTGGGGGAAACTCCACGTGAACCCTACCCTTGGTTTAGAGTAAGTACTCGGGATAGCTGCTGTGAAGAAAGTTTAAATCCAGGGGTCCGTTATATTTCTCTTACTTTTAATCAAAGTTGTTCTCTGAGTGTAGTGTTATTTGACTTTTAAAATGTGTAGGTCACAAAAAGATAGTAAGACTTTTTACTGATCGGAATTTTATCAAGCTTGTCGGCGATAAAAGTGAATACAAACTGGAAATATATTTACTAGATTTATTTTATATTAATAAGGCCTACGGAAATTGAAACAAACAAAAGCAAAATAGATTCTAGTTACAATTATTATAACCAACGAAAATCAGAAATATACAAATAATTTACAAGTGGTGTGATTAAAACAAAATGGGTTAGAGCAATTATTTACGACGGATTTAAAATGCCTATTCGGTTTTCCGGTGCTGTAAATAAATATACAATTAGCACATAGTCAAATATCAGGACACAAAATCGGTACGGTAGAAAAACGGAGTATTTGTCGTTTGGTTTATTTACAATAACCAAACTACTACTTTAAGAAAACATTACGCCATAAATAATATTTCGGTCGGTGCTAGAAAGGAAACAAAATAAGTTTAATAAAGTAGAGTAATAAATAATCAACAAATAAATTGTCCCAAATGGCTCTGAAACAGAGAAAAAATAATTACGGGTTACTCTAATTCTACAAATAAATATCGGCGGCAGTTTCTAGCAAAGCAACGGAAATTAAGCGGAAGTTCAACAGCCAAGGAGAAAAAGCGAAGCAATGCAGTTTACAATGGGTATAAATAATGGTAGTCAGGAAAATGAATTAGTTGGTTAACAGGAGGCAAAGTCTGGGCGCGGTGTGCGTTCAAACGCGTGGCGGGCGACAGGTTTCTCCCAGAAACGGTGGGGCACCCAGCCAACTTCGAGGGTATATCCTTGCACAGCCGACACACAACGTCTTCTACTGGCGGTGGAGTACCCAGCCAAACCAGCAGTTTCAGTTATTGTGCCTTATAGCGTTTATCAAGCTTGGGCGGTGGAGTACCCAGCCAACCGTCGCGTCGCCGACAACGCTGCTGCCATACAGTCCGACACCTTCAAGTCTTCCACTGGCGGTGGAGTACCCAGCCAACTAGCGGTTTCGGTAAAGGGGCTCACAATGTTTGTCGAACGAAGGCGGTGAAGAACCCGGCCAACCCGTCGCCGATAACGCTGCTGCCGTACGAACCTCCACTCAACGTCTTCAACTGGCGGTGGGGCACCCAGCCAAACCAGCAGCTCGGTTGATATGACGGACAACGTTCATCGTACGAGGGCGGTGGAGTACCCAGCCAAACCTTCGCCGACAAAGTTCAAAAACGGCCAGACTTATACCATAGCAGGACAAGTGAATATAGGAAAATACAATTTGCTTACTTATTCCGGATGGTTGCTCCCGGCGGTTAACTCCTTGGGTCGGATGGCGGTCTCTGGTCGGTTTCAGGTCCTCGGGGTGGTCCTCAGGCTGGAACTGGAGCTCTTCGAGTTCAGGATATGAACTGAGGATTTTCGTCCAGGAACGCTGGTTTTATTGCTTCAATCCCCCCTTGACTAAGCAGGAGTCTTGGTGGGATTATGCGCGCGGCCCTCGACAGAGTTTGGCAAACGGACGGTTCGGCTCGACTCGCGGGTAATTGCTCTCACCCAATTAAGCTAATTACTAAATAAATGGCCAACAGCCTTGCATAAAACGGTAACTTAAAATTAGTTCATTACACCAAAACGCGTATAAAATATAAAATGATTTTTATAACGGTTCAATATTGTTCGTCTTGTATTAAATGATGTGCCGCTCTCTATGTCGATGGATAGAATCTATAATTGTCTATAGACTAAGTTATACGGAACGTCGGTCTATATACTAACTCTGTCTTTTACACTTGGCAGGGAATAGGGAAATGCTTTTTTAGTGGGTGCAAACGGACTTGATTTAGCCGTCCTTAGAAACGTCATAGTTAAGCGTAGGCGAGGGGTCTAATTCTGTGGCTATAATAAATTTATAAATTTAAAAAACACAACCAGGACGTATTAAAACGTTGTAATAATTAAAATGGTTGTAGCAAACCGTCACTAGTCCAAAAGCTAGCGATGAGTCACTCTCTATAATTTCGACCGCGGAGTATAGGAGGAGGGATAGGTATAGGACGCTTCGTTAAAAAGATACAGGGTGTTAAACTTTAAAAAATATCTTTAATTTTTTTAAATAATTTAGAAACTAGTAAGTGAAATAATTTGAAATTGGGCATATGTATTTATGTAAAAATTGTCCAAAATCTGAGGGCTTTCCTAAAATTTACATGCTCGTGACAGAGATACAGAGTATCGATGGCAAACTGAGAACACACTTCAATATTCGAATATAATGCATTTTAAAATTACATAGTGAACTGCGATAGCAACTTTGACATTCTGAGCTGTTAGAAGAAAGAATAAATAATGCTTTTCATCAGATTGAAGCAACAATCTGATACTACACTTTATTAAATGCAAATTATCAATGTATGGACGCCGCTGTAATGATGATAGGATATATATATTTTTTTTGTTTTAAATAATTGTTAAACTTATACTTGTAAAATGAAATTAATTTTTCGAATGTAATTCTGTACACATATATTTTGAAACAATATCAAATTTACAATTTTTTAAAATTATAATGAGTAAAATAATCAGTTTTCATAAAAATTAATATGCAACATATTAGCACTACTTGTACTTTCATGTTATATTTTAAAAAGAATTATGGCCTAGGTTTCTTTGGAAGAGAGCCAAATGCTGATATAACTGTTCCTTTGGTACCTGTAGCAGTATTTGTTAATGAGGGCTGCACTAATCCAGCTGGCTTTATCGTAGATGTAGAGATGTTACCACATCCTCCTGGTTGATCCCATTTACTCTTTCGTTTCTTATCATCATCCTGTTTTTTAGTTCCAGAAACAAATTCAACTTTTCCTTTTCGCTCTTTTTCTCTTTTGTCCATTTCTATTTTTTGCACTTTAGCCAGTTCTTCATAATAAGATTCTTTACTCCATTTCAGAGGATCATATATTGCTGGAGGATAATTTGTACCTGCAACAACAGAATAACGTAATGGATCAGCGAATATAAACTGATGACACATGGTTAAACTGTTTCTAACTTATTTAGTTTCAGAGTTCTTTTATTATAAAAATTGTTAATATGTTGAATTAAATCAAACGACATATTTAACTGAACAAATTATTTAAATTTCAGTAGGGCCCGGTACTCAGTTAAAGCTTCATTAACTGATCAGGCGATTAGACTGTACAAGTACATACCTATTATGATTTTATTTATAAAGTATAATCGCAGTCTAATCGCCTGATTAGTTAATCAAGTATTAACCGAGACTCAAAGTATAGGGCCTAGGTATAATATTCTGCGGCCAACCAACCATTGTCAACAGGACAAAAATTAACATTTTCTGGAGCATTACAGAAAATTTTTCCATTTTTTTTTTTCAAAACTAGAAATTAGGCAATCCAACGACCTGTCAAATTTTTAAGCAATGAAGCTGATGGCAAACAAGTTATGTTTACATTGAGAATGCATTGAAGTCAGTAGAGAAGTTTTTAGTTAAATGCGTTTAATCCGAGTTTTTTGTAAGGAATTATTCATGTATTTTATTTAAGGAAGTGTTCAACTGGTCTTTTATTGAATTGTGTCGCAACGATATGTATTACTAATGCCGGTAACATGCATAGTAGTGGGTTGTGGAAGTCGTGGAAATCGAGACCAAGTTAGCTTTCATTGTTTACCCGACGTAGTGAATTCTAAAATATTTTCCTCATTTAAATGATTTATCGAGAAAACGGCGCCAAACATGGATATATAAAAGAAGAAAATTACTAGAAAATACAAGCGAAAATAGAATGGAATTATACTTTTTAAAAATCAAGAGAAATTTGTTAGGTACTGTCAAGAATTTTTACAATGATATCAATATATTCCAATTCCTTAATTTATGTATTTTTCATTATAATGCCAATGTTACATTAATTAATATTCTTATATTAGCTTCTTTAAATAATCACTGCATATTGATTGACAATAACAAAGACACCTAACTACAATCCACGAAACACTCATTATACAGTCAAAGACCTTATAAAGATGCCATGATAATAATATAGTGTGTACAGGTTTGATCTGGAACACCCGTGTAGAATTTTACAGGGTGGGGCGATTTTAATGTCAATTTTTTTTAGAGTAGGGAGTTCATAGACACACGTATGGGACATATCGCTCTGGAGATAATGTTATTTCGTGCTATAATTTTTTTAACAATGTTTTTGGAAAATCATACCAGGGATTTTTTTATTAGAAATTTGACAACACTGCGTTATTCAGCACAATTTAAAATCGAAATACCCAAAATATCATTAATTTATGTAGTTGTATGTTTTTTTTAGAGCTTCAAAATCCCAAAAACTGAAAATTCTTATTTTAGTTTGAAAATATAGGGGGCTTTTAGAAATGAGTAAAAACAATAAAATACAATTTAAAAGAGTTGAAATATCATGTTAAGAAAGAAAAAACAATACAAACTACTATTAACAAGTTAACAATGCTTGCACAAATTAATACCAGTCAAGGAAAACAAAATTGGAAAGAAACACAGAAATATTCTTAATAAGTAGGTATTCAAATTCAAAATTATGCTATTAAAAATTCAAATATTTCCTTTTTCGACTAAACCACCTTGTAGTTCTATATATTTTTCAATTCTTTTTTTATTTTGCTTAGATACGTTTAATAACGTTTCTTCGTTAATCTGATTACAAGCTTCCGTAATTCGAGCACACACACAGTTCTTGAAGATTATGTGATCGATTCCTATACACGATGTTTTTCAAATGTCCCCATAGAAAAAAATCTGCTGGTCTAAGATCAGGTCTTCTTGGTGGCCAGTTAATTAAATTAGAGCGTCTATCTATCCATCTGTTAGGAAAGTGTGTTTGAAGCTATTCTGTCACAGGTGTGGTGCAGTGGATAGGGACATCATCTAGTTGTAGCATGGAATTTAGCCGTTCAAGCAAAGGAACATCATCAAATGAATCATAAAATTCAGTTCGCAGAAATGTGTGAAAAATATTTCCATTTAAATTTCCATGGAAAAAGAACGGGCTGTAGTCTTTGACCAGAAATGCCACAAAAAAGATTAATTTTCTGTGAGCACTGACGCTTGCAGTTAATACATAATGGGAGTTTTCAGACGACCAATAACGAGTATTTTGTGAACTTACTTTCCCGTTAGTNTTATGTAGTTGTATGTTTTTTTTAGAGCTTCAAAATCCCAAAAACTGAAAATTCTTATTTTAGTTTGAAAATATAGGGGGCTTTTAGAAATGAGTAAAAACAATAAAATACAATTTAAAAGAGTTGAAATATCATGTTAAGAAAGAAAAAACAATACAAACTACTATTAACAAGTTAACAATGCTTGCACAAATTAATACCAGTCAAGGAAAACAAAATTGGAAAGAAACACAGAAATATTCTTAATAAGTAGGTATTCAAATTCAAAATTATGCTATTAAAAATTCAAATATTTCCTTTTTCGACTAAACCACCTTGTAGTTCTATATATTTTTCAATTCTTTTTTTATTTTGCTTAGATACGTTTAATAACGTTTCTTCGTTAATCTGATTACAAGCTTCCGTAATTCGAGCACACACACAGTTCTTGAAGATTATGTGATCGATTCCTATACACGATGTTTTTCAAATGTCCCCATAGAAAAAAATCTGCTGGTCTAAGATCAGGTCTTCTTGGTGGCCAGTTAATTAAATTAGAGCGTCTATCTATCCATCTGTTAGGAAAGTGTGTTTGAAGCTATTCTGTCACAGGTGTGGTGCAGTGGATAGGGACATCATCTAGTTGTAGCATGGAATTTAGCCGTTCAAGCAAAGGAACATCATCAAATGAATCATAAAATTCAGTTCGCAGAAATGTGTGAAAAATATTTCCATTTAAATTTCCATGGAAAAAGAACGGGCTGTAGTCTTTGACCAGAAATGCCACAAAAAAGATTAATTTTCTGTGAGCACTGACGCTTGCAGTTAATACATAATGGGAGTTTTCAGACGACCAATAACGAGTATTTTGTGAACTTACTTTCCCGTTAGTAGAAAATGTAGATTCGTCCGTGTATGTTTTTTTTTAAATTTGGATCTTGCAAGTAGTGTCCTTGTGCCCAGAGACAGAACTCCAGCTCCTCTTTACATCACTTGCTTCTAACGTGTGCAGGTATTTGACTTTAAATGGCCTAATATTTATTTTCTTTAAACACACACACACGCACACACGCACGCACACACACCCACGCATGCACACACAGACCCACGCACCCACGCACGCACATACGCACACACACGCGCGCACACACACACACACGCGCACGCACGTACGCACACCCACGCACGCACACACACATACACACGCGCGCGCGCACGCATGCACGCACCCACGCACGCACGCACGCGCACACCAATTCGTTTCATTAATTTATTTAGGAGGAAGTTTTTTATTAACATCATTTTATTAAACATGGATTATTGAATGAATTTTGAGTTTACTTCGTTGGTACCAAAAGATCTTGGCTAACTTGATTAGGTTTAGATACACAGTTTTTTTTTAAATCGCCTTTCTCCGTTGTCATTTTTAGAAGAAAAAAGTTTTGAATATTATTAGTTCATTTTTTTATGAGGAAGCCATTAGCGTACTCAGAATTTCTGATATTACATAAATATAGGGTTTTTTAAATAGAAAACCCTGTATTTGGCCATGCCTTTGAACAGCAATTTTTTTACCTTTTCAGCCATATAGGTATAATAATAGATACTTTTTATTTGTCTAAATGAAGAAAAATGTAAAAAATTTACAGTAAAACTCGGTTACAACGTACACGCTTATTACGTACTTGGTTGGTTATAACGTACCGAATAAGTAAGTCCCGGCATTATTATAGGGCCTTCAATGGTTAAATGTTTTGTTAAAACGTACTCCGTTATTACGTACTTCTGATATAAAGTACCAAAATACCTGGTCCCAGCATCTAAAAATTTCATTATAACGTACTTTTTATACATAAATTTATTTCGGCAAGTATGGCAAAAGCTCAGGGCACGTGTAGCACGGCGGCGGCGACATCTAAATTAAAGGCGGCCGCTTTGACCAGGCCGATATAGGTATAAGTTTTCGCCGACGAGCTGCCCGATATTGTTTATTTATTTAAGATTTTTTCTCCCAACACATGTTGATACAATGCAGTTGTCTAGTTATTTTAACCATTCTTTATTCAGTTTCCTTGTTGACATCGTACAGTACGTATCTAAGAGTAAGCGAATTTTTGAATACTGTCAAGTATGGATGATTCAACCCAAGCTGGTCCTAGTAAATTGGCTCGGAAGGCTTTAACAATAAATGAAAAAATTTCTATAATTCTGGAAATAGAAAGAGGTGTTAAACAAGCTGACATCTACAAATCTAGATGTATGAAAAAAACAACAGTGTCCACGATATTGAAAAACAAACATAAAATATTGGATTCCCGCGGAATTTCTAAACAAAGTAAAAGAATTCGCAAACCTGTCCAAAAAAACATCGATGAGGCATTACTTCAGTGGTTTACATATCAAAGAAGTTTGAATACTACAATATAAGTTCCAGTAAAATCCATGGGGAAGCTGCAAGTGTGAACATGGAAAATGCGTTGGATTGGGTTAAATCAACATTAGTTCCACTACTTATGAACTACGGCAAGAGTGATGTTTTTAATGCTGATGAACTTGGTCTTTTTTATAAACTTGCTCCAGATCGTACAATGAGCTTTAAAGGTCAAAAATGTGTTGGAGGAAAACTTTCTAAGGAAAGAATAACGGTTCTTGTGCGCAAATATGACCGGGACAGAAAAACGTAAACTCTTATGCCCGTTTGCACCGTAGTGTTTAATCCAGGATTAAGTCTGAACTTGGATTAAAATATAACATTTTGTTTGCACCGTTTCAAATCTACATATTAATCTAGGATTAATTTAAACCCTCAA